TGGGACATCATCTTCATTTAGGAAAGCTTGTTTCAAGAGATTTGGGAAGATCATCTTTTGGGAGATATTCAAGATAGTTGATTTAAAGTCCTTAATATAACACCCAATATGAAATATTAAGGCTAGGACCCAACACAATACTTTTATAACTTGGAAGAGGGATGCCGTAATCCAAGCTATAAAATATTTGAAGGTAGGTGAATGACGATTCACCAATTTCCACCAAGATAAACGAAATGTATTATTAGGTTTTTAATTGGTTTGAAACTCCTAGATTCTTTTGAGATTCATTGAACTGTTCAATGGCATGTTTCAATCTCGAGTGTGCCCTTCAGGTTTTGTGACTGGGATGCCGAGGATCACAAAACAAGGTGTGAATAACCATGCAAATATACTTGGTACCCTTAAGTGTTTACCCCTCAATCGATGTGCCGGTTAACCACACACGCTCCATCGATACTATGATAAACATTAAGTTACTCTTTGCCTACCTTGTTAAATACGAGTTAGTGTGCCGGTTAACCACACACGCTCCACTAACTGACTTAAACAAAGTGCAAAGTGTAATTTCATGGGTTAGCACCAAATTCACATTTTCCTAAGTAACTAAGATTGGGAATTTAATACTTTTAATGAAGGGAGAATTATAGTCCTTTCCTACCCGTTCGGCTAACGACCCTCCACCAGTCAAGGAAGCGGTGGGTGAGAGTGGACACCCATTAAACTGCCATTTTATAGGCAGTAACCTTATACCCCCCTTATAGACCGGCTTCGTGAATGAAGCCTACTAACGGTAAGACTGACTTTCTCTTATACATATATATATATTATTAACTTATAATATTATAAAGTATAAGGGTTGAATTTTAACTTTAAAATTCTAAGGGCTTAACTTGGAATTAAAGTATTCATAAGAGAAAACTTTTCAAATTCCAAAACTTGAGGGCAAGTTTTGAAACTATTCAAAACTAATTAATTCCATAACTTATGTGTTTAAAGTAGTTTTAATTAAAAAAAAAACTCTTCAAGTTCTATAACTTGAGGACAAGTTATGGAAGACTTTAAACTAATAAAAGAATGTAACTTTTCTTTATTTTTGTAACTTATGGAATTAATTAAGGTTACACTTTTTATTACTTAATGAAGTGACTCTTGAACCTCCATAACTTGAGGACAAAACTCTTCATTTTTGTAACCATTACCAACTTTTATGAGTTTTATGAAACTTAAATGTGACTTTTCATATAACTTGAGGACAAGTTACAAAAACACATTTTAGAATCAACTCTTAGATTAAAATGGATTGAAAACACATAATCAATTAACTTTTCTATTAATCTAAGCAACTCATAAGAACAAGATAATTTAATCAAACTTTTTCATGTAATTAGCCAAATCACTAAACTAATACAAAACATGAATCTATTGACAATTATCTTTGAAATTGGATTAGTATGAACATTACCACATCAAAAACAGGATTATAGGTTCAAAACAGCTTATGGTAATGTTCCTAGTCCATTTCTAGCCAAAAAACTCGAAGATATGCTGTCAGGGGCTCCTACTCGTCGAGTGTATCAACCTACTCGCCGAGTAGGATGATTTTCTTCATGGACTCGGCGAGTGCATCAGTGGACTCGGCGAGTCCAGTGCCCAGAATGCCCGAAATTCGACTTTTTCAGCATTTTTCAGCAATTTGCATCAAGTATAATTGAAAACAAGCCTAGGCTCTGATACCACTGATGGGTTTTGAGCATTCTAACACTCCTAAGTGTACATGCACCCTAAATACCTTGGATCTATGTTTTCTCTATTATACATGCAAATATGATTATCCAAGGTATTATCCTAACTAGCATACCAAAACATTGATACTAGGATACTAAAATAGATAGAATACATACCTTGTTGTTGTTGCTTGACTCCATGAAGCTTGAGAGCCTAGTGTCCCAAGTGTGACACCTCAAATGGTTCACACAACATCATGAACTCTTGGAATAACCATGAGAAGAAGACATACATGTTCAAATCGGCTAGCCCTCAAAATATGTATCACTAGTGCCAATTTCTTGAACTAAAGGGGTTCTTATATAGTGTGGCTATTAGGGTTACACCATGTAACTCATGACTTTACCCATTCCTTATGCTCCATGGGTTTTAACCTCCATGGAGTATCCATGGATCACCACATGGGTTAAACCCAACATAAAGGAATCTTGGATCATAAGCCCACATATATAAGAATGAATGATTTACACAATCAATCCCCATATATTTAATTAGTCTCTTTTTGATCACTAAATTAAGTCCAAATTAATTCTTGATCAATACTAATTCAATAACATGATTTCATATTAATATATTAGAACTTATAATATATTAATATGTCACAAAATGTCTTTTCCTCATAAACGGTCTATCCAAATGTTCCGATGCCATGCAACCCAAATGGACCATGCCGAGTCGGGTCAAGTACATACCAATTATAGTTATGGACTTAGACACTAATCCAACATTAAGACCTTCCATAAGATGTATGGATCAATTCTAACCAATAAGACTTCATTTTTATGGCTTAGGCCCCTCTTAGGGTCTGAAAGGACAACTCACAATGACAAGAACAAGCCATGCACAAGATGAGACATTTGGGACCAAAAAGTAACATAAAAACCCCCATTTCTAGATCTACAAGATTGAAAAACAAAGGTGCAAGCTTTATACCTTAGGATACTTGCAAATGAAGAATAAATCCCAGATCCAAGGTGCTTCTTCCCTCCAAGATGAGTTTGGTTCCTTCCTTCTTCTTCTAAGCACACAAACACACACCTTAATGTTTGAAATGGCTTCACAAGGTGGTTCTAGGGTTACAATCACGAAAGAGAGGGTGGAGGTTGTTAAGGTGAAGGGAAATTGAACCCATAAGGATTAGGGTTTCCTCATTTAGCAAGTACGCCCTGCGTACATAGATATACGCCCAACGTACTAGGGCGTGCCCTAGTACGCTCAGCGTACACACTAGTACGCATGGCGTACTCCTCACTGCCAACATTACGAAAATGCCACTAAGGCTCCAATGCACATTTTCTTGGACTTAGAGACCAAAACACATTATGATATAATTACAGGGTTGAATTAGAAGTACGTGAACATTAGGATGTTACAGATTTTGTCAGAAGATGATCCGAGGGGTTTTCGGAAGGTATTGACTATGAGAATAATGGTGATTGTGGTGTTGGCAGCTGATTTGTGGTGGCTGGAAGGAGAAACGTATCTGGAAGAAGGAACGATGGTGAGGAGCAGAAGGTGGGTTTGAAGAAGATGATATATCTTCTGGGTATTAAAACGATAAGGAAGAGAAAGAGAGGGAGAGAGAGAGAGAGAGAGAGCCTTGTATATTTAATAATAATAAACTATTTAAGAAAAAGAAAGAAAAATGAAAAATAAATACCCCAAGGGTATTAAAGTCATTTTAGTTTACTGAGGGACCAAATCCATAACGAAATTAGCTTAAAAGGATCACAAAACCAAAAAAATCAAGGTTTTGACTAAAACTCAGAAAAAATACATACCATAGGGACCATTTTTGCAATTTTATCAAAATTATAAAAACGTATTGTACCAAATTTATAGAAGTAAATCGATATCTTATCTAAAAATGTAAATAAAGAAAACTTGAAATGTGGAGGAGGGATGATTGCTATCTACGAAGAAAAAAAAATCGTGATCTTGCCTAGCTTGGCAACGAGAAATTAAATATCCTTCTACCTTTTGTTCATACTTTTTTTCCTATCTATTTAAGATGATAACAAGTATACACATTTAACATCTCAATCAAATTTAAATTAAATTTAATGACACTTATCTTTTTTGGAAACGACAAATTTAACTTACTCTAAATTACACCTTAAATCCACCTATGTCCATGACGAGACTTGAACCCTCAACGTCAAGGAGGGAGGGCAACAACGGATACCGCCGGTCTAGAAAGCCCTTTGATTTAATGACACTTATCACCATCTAAAATAACTAGAAGGATAATAGAAAAAAAAAACAAAAAGATATTTAATTTTTCGTTGTCAACACAGCAACCACTAAACTACATAGCTGTATTTTTCCTACTATTGTTAATCATTTCATAGTAGAGGTGACAAAAATTGACACGACACGAAACCCGACACGAAATAAACGGGTTTGGGTAAGATATTTAAACCCGTTTAAATAAACGGGGTTGACACGACACGACACAGAAACTAAATGGGTAAGGTTAGGGTTGAGAATTTCAACTCGAATATGACTCGAAAATGACCCGTTTATTTGTATGCAAGTTTTTTTAATCATTTAAATAATCTAGAAAGATACAAAACCAAAACCATAAGTAAAAGAAAACCTTCAAATTGAATTGTTTTGTAATGTTGAAATGACTTAGCCGTCTAGATCAAGACTTCATTTCAGTTTTTCCATTCTCTCCCTAACTACCCAGTCTCTTTCACCACTCTCACATCCTCATGACCTTGTCATCCGCCTCCCCAACTCCCACTCTTTTAATTTTGTCATCTGAACTTGCTATGACTTCATCTATTCTACCTCCAAACTATTAGGTTTTCCTTTTGGCCTACCCAACTCCTACTCTTTCAACATGCTCAATCTTTTAACCTCACATGACACGACATATTTCAAGGTATAGCCCTAACCCGAAACCCGACACGAACTCGACACGAAAATAAACGGGTTGACACGACACGACACATTAATTAAATGAGTCGGGTTAGGGTCAAGCACTTTCAACCCGTTTAGTGTTTCGACACGACACGAACCCGACACGACACGACACGATTGCCACCTCTATTTCATAGTGGTTAGTAAATAGATAGTGAAAAGTCAAAGCTAAATTTGTCACGTTGGAAAGTTGAAGGTTCATAGTTGAAGTTTCTATAAATTGAAGGGGCAGTTATATAGAATAAGAAACATCTAAACTTCCACTCCACTCAAAGACAAGCAGCCACACAGATTCATCCCTCTTTGGGTCTCCTCTCGTCACACTTCGCAATTGTTTCGTCAGGACATCCCGGCGGCAGATAAAACCCTCCTCCGATTATCTCTCCGATCAATATATCAACAGTCTCTCACTGTGTCAGAATCTGAATCTTCCAAATGGCAGAAGGGTCAAAAGAATCAACTTCAAGTACTGTTAGTCAACATGATATTATTGTCGAAGATACCGAAGACAGCGTCAAATCCCCTCCAAATTCTCCCAATTCTTCCACGCGGAAGGTTTTCCTCACCTCTTTCTTAATAGTTCTCTTAATATCTATGAATAGTTTTGGTTGATTTGTTTTCGAACTTTTCTGAATCAATAGTTGTTTTTGGAATTTCTGAGATCCAAGTTTCTCGATGGAATTCGAGTGCAGTGGCGCGGATGGCCAGTTTCGGATTTCTCAAATTGTTAATAATAAGTTCATGATTGCTACGTATTTCGAGAGAAATCAATCAATTTTGATGATGCTCCGTTATAGGTCAATTTTGAATTTGGAACATAAACCTAGTAGATGACGACGAATAAATCCTTAAAGTAATCATCTCTATTGATGTAATTTCCTTTTACATTCCGTAAGTAGGAGTCGACCAGAAATGTGTGCTACGAATTCCAATTGGGAAGTCAATGCCAACCTAAAAGAAAAATAAAGATTAGGAGAAACCATGTTTTGATATTACCATTGGTAGTATTTTGAAATTCGCAACATAAAACTAAATTGACAACGCATTAACTCATAATTAACATAATTTCTTCCTCATTTTGTAAATCCAGGGGGTCAACTATATAGATGTATGATTTTGGCAAATCAAAAAAAACTTATTGTATGAAATGTTGTTCCATGGATTGCTAGCTTGAAATTGAGTTGTTCTGAGCTCAAAATCAATAATGTTTTTGTAGCCATTATTGGTATTAAGTATTGCATGTGCTTTTACCTGCAATCTTTAAATCACCGAGGATTATAGTTATAGTGTATAAATCGGTGAGTGTTGAACCCTAATCCAGTAATAATCTGTTGTAGGAATAAGTCTAGAATCAAGGAAGGTTGTGACATTTTGGTGTTTTTATATTTAATTAGGGTGGATTTGCCTAGTCCTACACACCACCCTGGATTGGGGAAGACCGCGTTAGAATCAACTTACACTTACAATAATTACACATTTTATAAACAATGTAAAGAATCACTAGTCATACGATATAAATCCCAAAGATCCATATCAATGCTTACAAATCCAAAAAAGTTTCAATACCATTTGAAAAAGAAAAAGCAAACCCTTCTCCCAAGTTGTGATCTGATCACATAATGATTTATCCACAATGCAATCACTAATGCACAGTTTTTTGATAGTGGGATTTGCATGGGACTGATTAAAGAAATGGTTTGGTGTAAGTCTATTAATTAATTAATGTTATAGCAAATGTATACAAGTCAAAGCTTAGGTGAAAATCCATTATCCATATTACATGAAGGGTGGTATTGACATAAAAATTTGGCAGGCTTGTTATGCTGTGCTTCAGAGTTGGGTTTCAAAGAAATTCATGACCGGATGGTATGTAATATGTATACCTTTTTATTAATACATTTTTTTTTTCTGTTGTTTAATTTGGAATATATATATATGATTTCAGTGTTGTCCTGTTTCCTGTGGCTGTGACCTTCTTTGTGACATGGTGGATTGTACAGTTTTTTGATGGTTTCTTCAGTCCAATCTATGAAAGACTTGGGGTGGAAATATTTGGTCTTGGGTTCCTTACATCATTGATCTTTATATTCTTTGTGGGTATCTTTGCTTCATCATGGATGGGTGCTACTGTGTTCTGGGTTGGAGAGTGGTTTATAAAGCGGATGCCCTTTGTAAAACACATTTACTCTGCTTCCAAACAGATTAGTGCTGCTATTTCTCCAGGTAAGTTTGTTGTTGATTAGAATTTTAGAATTAGATTTTGTTTGGAATTTAAAAATTAAAAGTAAAAACTGTTTCTCTTTGTGGTTTTGGTGACAGACCAGAACACAACTGCATTTAAGGAGGTTGCCATCATTCGTCATCCTCGTCTTGGGGAATATGCTTTTGGTTTCATTACATCATCAGTTGTTCTTCAGGTACTTAAATACACAAACAACATAATACTTTCCCTTTGCTTTTGAAAATTCACCTCAACATTCTATTAAGGATGTGTTAATACCACAATTGACTTTTGAACTGATTTCCATATGATGATGATTTGCATTTTGCAGAGGGAAAATGGAGATGAAGAGTTGTGTAGTGTTTATGTCCCAACAAACCATCTCTACATTGGTGACGTATTTCTGGTCAACTCTGAAGAGATCATAAGACCAAATTTGTCTATCCGAGAAGGCATTGGTTAGTGTGCTCCCCTTCCTTTCCAAACATTTTCCCTCATATGAGTTTTACAAATTTTCCCTTGTTTCATTGCAGAGATTATTGTTTCGGTGGGTATGTCAATGCCACAATCTATATCTCCTATAGAGAGGGTCCCACATGCAAACAATAGGATCCCGCTAAACAGTATGATGTAGAACCTGAGCTTGTTTGTATCCATCTATATTTTCAACACTTACTATTATTATTATTATTTTTTTTAAAATATTTTTGTTTGAATCAAATGAGAGGTTCGTTTGTATTCTTGTATTCATCACATATTTTAGTAGCAACATGTGTGTAGTCGCATAATATTTTTAATTTTAGTAGCCACCCCGACGCTTCATCTTTTCTTTGTAAAAAATAACAAACATAATATATGTGATATACAAGCATGAATAGTTAAGTTTTAAATAATAATAATAATAATTAAAAAAAAAAACACACACACACACACACTATCGCTTTTGTCGTCTTTGAGCAGTAGGGGGAAGTTTCTCAGAAGGGCCAGTGGGAAGTTTTTGTCCAGTTTCTTTTTCGATTATGGCTTTAAGTTCTCTAAGGATTTTAACCTGGCGAAGCTTCTGAGGTGAAAGTTTATCCCAGTAAATACCTTGAGGTTTGGGGATGGATGTGTTGGTAAAAATAATTTGGGTGGGAGTGCATATGATGTCAACAGGGACATCATGGATTAACAGCTTCTCAACAGGAATATCATCCACTAGTTGTTCGTCATGCACTGAAACACAACTTAACCCATTACGACCAGACCATTAAGTAAAAAATAAAAAATGTGTGTCTTGAAGATTTACTGTTAAGACAAAAGATTACATTTAAATTTTTTTTACCAGATGTTACGATTGGGGTTGAGTCGTCAATTGCTCCCATATAACGCAGCATTCCGTATTCAAGTTCTGCAAATCCCTGCATTATTTGTATTACCCGTAAACTTTTAATCAATCAAAATCTAAGGAAATCTCAAGTATTATTATTATTATTTTTAATCCTTATATAATTTAACGCCATACAAAGGAGCCTATTAGTATTACTAGCCAAGCTGAAACCAAGCCCAACTCATTGAGTAAAAATAAAATACACACCAAACATTAAATTTTATCATGCTCACCAAGTTTACCGAAATGTGAGTCCATTTACACAAAATATGTCACATAAAAACTTTCTTTGGATAACTTTCTTTGAATTTTCACTTGCTTATTGGTTTTGTAAGGGAGTTCTACCTTGAAATGCAAGACAGCAAGAAACAACAAAAGTACTTACACTATATGTGTATGTATTGCAGCTTCATACTTTCAGTTCTTTCTATTACAACATTGTCCTTTCAAAATTTTCTTATTAAGACACTCTACTTTAAAAAATCTACAAAGTTATAACAATGTAATGATTTTTTTTTGTTAGGACATTTACTTCAAAAAATCTAACAAATTATAATTATTGAAATTTGCTTTATATATTTAAATGACATTGCTATGGTTGGGCAAATTATTAAAAGTAGTATGGTGAAAAAGTAAAAGCATGTTGCTACTTTTTGCATTTAACCCTTTTTTCAATATGGCAAAGTTGGAATCCAAAATTACCTAATTTGCCCATTTGTATATAGCATCTATTTTGGTCCATATAATAAAAACTATATTTTGTCATCTTTAATGGAGCATCTTAGATACTTCATTTCCATGAAAATCATAAAGTTTTACTTTGCATATGCTTTAGGCAAATTGTTTTTGACAAGTAACTAAAATACCCTTAAATAAAGACATAATAATGGAAATTTGTGGACCTACAAAGATACCAACAATTTATTTATAACAATAACAATGGGCAAAAAAAATAATTGTCACATAAAAAATTCCAAAAAAGGAAATGTTGCAAATCCCATGGAAGATCTTGAAAACTAAACTTTTGCAGTTTTCATGGGATATAGAGGCTATTTAACTAAGGCCCTATTTCTTTTTTCCCATTTAGTGTTATCTCGATAAATAATGTTCCTTTTTGCTTTTTGAGAAAATAAGAGACTTGATAAATAATGTTCCTTTTTGCTTTTTGAGAAAATAACAGACTTGACGAGGAAATCAAGTCCAATAAATCAAAAGATTAAAATACACCTAAATGCCTAATAGTCAAATACCTATATTAAATTATGCAGTCACATATGTGCAAGGATAGAGGGAGTTAGTTGTTAAATGTATACCTCACCCTTGCCTAGTCGAGCCCCAGTTTTTGGATCAACTGCAACAGAACCAATGACAATAAGGTCAACCTTAATCTTCTCATCCAATCCAATGGGCTTTCCATATTTGGCAACCCCGACAGATGTGCATGCCTCATTTATGGTACTAGGATTTAACGCATTTGATTCAAGTACAGAGAAAAATCCAGTCCTTAAACGGGGTTGTGGAGTAAGTAGCTTCTTTCCACCTTCACAAACACAAGTATCTTTAATCTTTAATCTATATAGATGGTGATCAATATCTATATATAATAACGAATCATAGACCAAGATTTTCTAATAAAAAGATGCATAATTGTAAAAACACTAATCTTTCATTCCATAACATAGTAGGAAAGAAATGAAAGTAGTATGTTAAACAAATCAATGAAAGTAAGTTGCCATTTCTTGCGTTTAACCCTATTTCACAATGTCATGATAGTTGAGGTGGATCCTAGGGCAAACTCCTAGTGTATCAATTGCTTGCAGGTTTCATTTGAGGACAAGAATGATCACCAATAGAAGTTGAAGCAACAAAACAAATTTGGAGAAGTAAACAGACAAATAAAACTGACCATTGAGTGTTAAAAATCTGACTTGCTTTTGAGGCGTATCAGGATTCACCTTCACACAGTCAGCCTTTAGAAACACATCCAGCCTACTCAACTGGCATACACAATTCCACCCCAAATGTATACAATCAGATAACTTTCTACCCTGTGTAACTCTTATAATGAACCCTAATGAAGGTTAAAATGGCTGAATTGAGCAAAAAAGGATACAATTTCCAATCATATCATCGAAATCTGATTATTTTTACCATAAATAAAGGGACAACTGGAATCATGATCAGATAACAACAGTGTAAAATCTTCTTACTTTATTAGCAGCAGTAGGAGCACCGACGAAATTAGGTATCCGGTGATGAACAGGTCTTGGGAACTGGGCAATGTTTTTGGCTTCCATCAAATCCCAAATCCTCTTCCGGATCACCCATTTCCAAGCTTTTGGATCATCGTCGTCATTACCATTTCCCAGTGTCTCATCCGCCTCCGTGGCCATGGATTCCCTTGCCTTAGCGTCGAGTCGAAGTCTCTCGGCCTCATACGCCGCCTCGTCAAAAGAAATGTCGTTTCGCTTGCTAGTGTCCAGTTTGAATGGATTGTAACTGCAGTATCGGGAGCTTCGGAAGAGATTTGGGGAGAGAAAATTTGATTTGGTGGAAGGGAGATGACTCAGATATGGAATTCGGAATATACAGGCGTCCATGGAGGATAAGATTTCAAGGATTCATGGAGGTTGGTGCTAATGTGTACATGATACCAAGAGAACGATGTGCAAGGAATTTTTATTTCTTTTAAAAAAAAAATAATAAATAACTAGAAAACATGTTTGTTTAGATAACAAGAGAAAATTTTTTAAAATTTTGAAATTTTTTTAAAGCTTTTAAATTTTCTATTTTAAACCATTGTGCACACAACCATTACCTCTTCAACATGAGGGGCGGACGCATGAATTAGTAGTCTGGGCTATACAATTTTTTTTTCCGGTCAAACATAATATAAAACATAAAAAAAAAAAATTTCGGTCAAACATAATATAAAACGTCTAATACAATTTTTTTTACTGGTTAAACATAATATAACAACGATCTATTACAATTTAAATTTGTCATCTTCGTGCAGACATCTTTTGAAACCGCTTCATTACTTTTTCATTCTCAACTTTTGCAAGTGTTTCGGTCTCGACATTACAAAGCAATGCGTCATTCAAAAAGTCATCGCCAATTTTGTTACGCAAGTCGGTCTTCAAGAGCTTCATCTTTGAAAAACATATTTCTACACTTGCGGTCGCTACGGGTAATATCAAAGCCAACTTTAAAAGCTTATAAACCAAAGGATAAGACCGATGCTTCCCCGTACTAACCATCAAACGAGAAATGTCGGAAATTCCTTTCAAACTAGTGAAGCGCTCATCTTTGATGCAAGAGTGATAAAATATCTCAAGTTGTCCTTCAAGTTCTATCATATCCGAATCATCAAAGTCATACTTGTATAACTTACCCAACTTCAACAACTTTGATTTGTCAAATTGTGCAAATGAATCACAAGGGCTCAAAGCACCCATGTATTCTAGTAACTGGGTGCTTGTTTCACTAAATCGATTTCGATATTCTGTAAGTTGCATATCTACCACCGTGTTGAAGATTTCAACCTCAAAATGAAACCTATTAGTCTTTGTAGACTTACGGTTTCTCGCACCGATATACAACTCTTCCATATCTAAAGTATCAATTTTGTGTGTTTGACAAAAAGAGGATACTTTTGGCAAAATGCTAGCAAACCTTGTGTTTCTAAAAGATTGCAATGCCTCCATTGTCCCTCTAACCATCTGATGCGACCTTACTATCGTTCCTCTCCGAGCTCTTCTAATGGATTTCGAATGGATTCTGCAAGATCACAAGAAAGAAAGGTCGTCAGCCGTTTCCCGGGAGGAGGCTCCCAGAAAGACGCTCCGACGGTCAAGTTAGATAGGGTTTAGGGTTTATGTGAGTGTTACTGGAAGAAGATAGCTTAACCCTTGAGCTCCTGAGTGTGCCCTTTTATACCTAGCGACCTTGTTCGTCCGTACGAGACAGGATCGCTTTGAGGAGACAAGGTCAGAGGCGTTGATTGGAGGATCGTGCGCCTCTTTCCGTTAGAGCGCTATCATTGGCTCCGACGGTAATGGTCTGACCCTGTGCCTTGTCGCCTGACCGTATCTTTTGTCTTGGTATTGGGAGCGTTCCTGGCGGGCGCGAGCCTTTCGCCTGAGCACCCTGCTCTTTAGGGGCACTGGCGGGCGCTGAGCCTTTTGCCTGGGCGCCCTACTCTTTAGGGGCGTTGGCGGGCGCTGAGCCCGCTGAGCCTGGCTCTACCAGTGCGCCAGGATCCTTGGCTTGGCGCGACTCTTCCGTGCTAGCTTATGCACGTCATCAAGTCCCCCAGTCCGGTAGCCGTAGTGTTGCAATGCTAGTTACGGCGTTCTAGACTTATCTGCTCTACACGTGTCGGTTCCCTGTTTGCCCGTCATTTCGGTTTTAATGACGATGTGACCGCTCATGATGGCCAGCGGTTACGTCACCGTGTCAGACATTTTGAATATCCCGCCCTTTCTGTTCTCTTATAAGGGCGTTTATTACGCTTTCTCATTTACGTTTCCTTTCCTTTGTTGTTCTTCTTCCCCAAGTCTATTTTTCTCTCTTTTCTCTTATGGCGAGTCCCCCAGGAATTCTTCCTTCTGCAACTGTGTATCAACTGCTTGAGAGCACCTATGGTCTCTCTTCTTTGGACAATGTGGAGTTCCCGTCGCCCGGTTCTTCTATCACGTCCCCCCCTCCCGAAAAAGTTGGGGTTTATCAGAAAACCCTAGACGCTGGTCTTCGTCTTCCTCTAACCGACTTCCAGGAGGAGGTCCTTCAAAATGATGGTTGCAGTGTTCAAATGCTGACTCCGAACGCTGTGAATAAGGTGGTGGCGTTCGAAATGATCTGTCGTGCCAACAGTTACCTCCCCGACTATTTTGTGTTCAAGTGCTTCTTCAGGTTTTGCTGTACTGGTGATAAGTGCACATTTTCTGTTCGGCAAGGAGGGCACACCCTGGTTCCTAATGGGCGAACACCCAAAAATTGGCAGGACAAGTGGTTATGGGTGAACCAGGGCTTGGCTGGTAGCGGTCGTTACCGTGCTAACACCTTCGCCGACATTACTCCCAAGTTGTTTCCCCATAATCAGGGTGTTGCCGATTTACTGAAGAATGTCCAGGTATCTCCCGAGGATTACTTTGAAGCTCTGCTGTCCGGTGTTGGGATGAGCCCTTCCTGGAGGCGCCGTGGCAAGATGGCAGGTTTTCTTCTACGTCGTCGATGGTAAGTACCTGCGTTTTCTTCTTGTTCGCTTGCCCGGGTGTGCTTGTTGGGGCTAGGGTTTTAACCTTTTGGGATCTTCGCGTTCTGACGCGTCTCCTTATATTTAACATTTTCAGGTGTCAAATTCTCCTTATCCATGGACGAGGTCCTGCGGAAGCGCTACCGGGGGAAGCTGGAATACCGGGAGGTGGACCTGGTCGATCGCCTTCCCCCGCCTCGTCAACTAGATCAGCTTGATTTAACCGTCGCTATACCCGTTCCTCCGGTGGCGGGGAGGGTTCGTCGTCTGCTGAGGTGAACCCTCTAGCCGCTCGTCCTATTTCGGCCATCATGTCGTCGGGTGGTGCTCACCACTCCTCTGCTGAGGACGACGAGGATAGCAAGGATGGTATCATCTCTGATGTTCGGCGTATGCAAGCTAAAAGGAAGGTTGTCTTGGCCATGGGAGAGACAGTCATCGGTGTGCCTAATGTCGCCAAACGGGTTCAGACCAGGCGCAGTTTCTCCCGCCTTCTGAGCTCTATTTCTTCAACGCCGGCGGCCGTTGTTTTGATCCCTGATGACGACGTTGAACAGCCCGAAGGGGTCAGTGGGGCGTCTAAACAGCCCGTTGTTCCTGTTCAAGTTGCTTCTTCTGTTCCTGTTAGCTCCTCGCCTTCAAAGGGTCCTAGTAACTCATGATGTGTTGCTTTGGTTAAGACCTAATGCCAACAAGGTGAGTTTCGTGTGAATTTTGTAGTTGCTTTCATGAAAAGTTGATTCTAATTTATTTGCAAATTACATGTTACCGTGGTTATTGCTATGAATATTTGTGTGAATTTTATGAACTAATTCATGTAAAAGGGTGAAAATGGTGGGTGACATATAAATAGGGAACATGTATATTGATGCGACCTTGGCTTGACCCTTCACTCGTATCACTCTGTTGGAACTTGGGTAAAATCTGCAAGATCATAAAAAAAAGAGAGGCCGTCAGCCGTTTCCCGGGAGGAGGCTCCCGGAAAGACGCTCCGACGGTCAAGTTAGAAGGTATTATAGGGTTTCTTGTGTGTAAAGCTGGAGAGGACGGCTTAACTTATGAGTTCTAGAGCGTACCCTTTTATACCTAGCGATCCTGCCCTATCCGTACGCGACGAATCGCTTTAAGGAGACAGGGCCAGAGGCGGTGATTGGTGGGTCGTGCGCCTCTATCCGTTAGAGCGCCCTTATTGGCTCTGAAGGTAATGGTCTGATCCTTCCTCTTGTCCCCTGACCGTACCTTTTGTCTTGACGCTGGGAGCATCCCTGGCGGGCGCGAGCTTTTTGTCGGGACATTGAGAGCGCCTCTGGCGGGCGCGAGCCTTTTGTTGGGACGCCCTGCTCTTAGGGGCGCCGGCGGGCGCTGAGCCCGCTGAGCTTGGTTCGGCTGGCGCACCAGGTTTCTTGGCCAGGCACGGTTCTGTCGTGCTAGCATAGGTACGTCATCAAGTCCCCTAGTCCAGTAGCCGTAGCATTGCAGCGCTAGTTTGGACTTGATTGCTCTAAGCGTGTCCGTTTCTTATTTGCCTATCGTTCCGATTTTAATGCTGACGTGACCGCTCATGATGGCTGGCGGTTACGTCATTGTGTCAGACATTTTGAATATCCCGCCTTTTCCGTTTCTATAAGAAAGCTCATAGGGTTTTCTTTGGACCCATCATCTTCTTACTGTCTTCTTTCTTTTTCACACCATTTCCTTTCTTAACTTTTTCATGGCGAATCTTCCCGGTGTTCTTCCTTCTGCGGCTGAGTATCAGCAACTCGAAACCGCTTATGGCCTTTCTTCCTTGGAGGGCGTAGAATTTCCCTCACCCGGTTCTTCTATTTCGTCCCCTCCCCCCGGAAAAATTGGGATCTACCAAAAAACCCTGGATGCTGGTGTTCGTCTTCCATTGACAGATTTCCAAGAAGAGGTCCTTCATAGGTACGGTTGCAGCCTGCAAATGTTGACTCCCAACGCCGTTAACAAAGTGGTGGCGTTTGAGATGATTTGTCGCGCCAACGGTTATCTCCCGGACTACTTTGTTTTCAAATACTTCTTCAGCATCTGTCTTACCGGCGACAAGTGCACATTCTCTGTCCGACGGGGAGGGCATGCTTTGGTCCCTGACGGACGAACGCCCAAAAATTGGCAGGACAAATGGCTATGGGTGAACCAAGGCTTGGTTGGTAGCGGATGATATCGTGCGAATGCCTTTGCTGACACCATTCCTAAGCTTTTTCCCCATAATCAGCGAGTTGCAGATTTTTTGAAGGACGTCCAAGTGTCTCCTGAAGATTACTCCGAGGCCCTGCTATCTGGTGTAGGGATGAGTCCTTCCTGGAGGCGTCGTGGCAAAATGGCGGTTTTCTTCTGCGTCGTTGACGGTGAGTGCCTGCTTATTCCTCTTTTCTTTTTTCTCTTGCTTTCTTCTCTCTTTTCTGTATGTACTTAGTTGAGGCTAAGGCTTTATGT